CCCCAAAACCCCAAAACCCCAAAACCCCAAAACCCCGCTAAAGGCATTTTTATTGTAATATTTTAAGATGGCTTTGGGCAGAATAGGCTGGGTTTTACTACTGGTTTTGTGGATACAGGGGGTGAAGATGGCGCAAAGGGAGGCTGGAGGGGGGATTATGCAGAAGTGGGAGGCCAATGTGAGTGGGGAAGCGTGGAAGAGTGAAGGAAAGTGATGAGGTAGGTCTGGAGGTCGGAGGAAGGGTGGGGGATTGTGGATGTGTGGGTTTAGGAGATTTGCACTATAAAAATGGGGTTTTGCTATTTGTTATTTAAGTTTGAGCATGATGTAAAGAATTATACAGTCAGTTCTTAAATTTTTGAATTTAACAAATCTTTTCTTTTTTGTTTCAAATATGTTCTGGCAATATCTTTACTAGTTAAAATAATGCAAAATATAAAATTTAATACTTTATCCAATATTTATTCGATATCTTATTGTTTTACTGTCTAAATCTGTCCTTCTTCAAAATAAAAAGTTAGACATAACTAACTGTCGTATATCAAAATTAACACTTTCTGTATAAGTAGAAAACAAAAATTATCAACAAGCAATACCAAATCTCCCCTCTCCCATTATAAAAATTCCATTCTAACCAACATCTAAACCATTACTAAACCCTCAAAACACTATCTTAATCAACCCTATTAACTCTTCACCAAGAGAGTCTCAAACTAGCTTAATTCTACAGATTCTTTATATAAACCGGTTCAAAAATTTGTGAATCTCTGCTTGTCAAGTCTTGGCTGGGAGGCTCAGATTGTTTGGAATATAGGGGAGTACAGGAATTTGAAGAGTAGTAAGAGGAATAGTAGTAAGTTGGACAATGGGGGAGAAGGGGTGGGGGGTTTGGAAGTGTTGGAGGTATTGGAGGAGGGATGGCAAGTGATAGGATACGAAATGGATGTACTTTTGGTATTTTCTTACCTTAAATTGTAAAAATATGATTGGTTGGGTTTGTGATAAAATCTGAAGAAAATCTATTGGATACTAGGAAGCTTTCATTATGCATCTCAGCATTGATCTTTACGCATACAATATCGAGCCAGGCCTATATCACTGTTGGTGATAGCCTTGAGAAGCTTTGCTTAATTGAAACTTGAGAATAAGAGAGTTTTTAGATAGGTAAGATTCCTAAAGTATAGTCTAAATTACTTTTTCAAAAAATGTTAATAATGTTTAGAAAAGGTTCCAGTACTCCGACATTGAACATTGTCCTCTATGTTTTAGCCGGAGTTGTTATAACTGGAATGATCGCATTTGGGATTATCAGGAAACAAATCAGAAAACGAAGAATGAGAATACAAGCAGAGAATATGGTACATAACGCCGCACAGCCTGTTAATAATCAGCAAAATGTCCAGCAAATATTCCAAGATCCTAATGCTCAGCAAATTTATCATAATCCAAATGATCGTAACCAAGCTTATATGATTAGTAAGCTATTAACATAATAATTAGCTCCAAATGACTCAGTTACTCCTCCTCCGATTGTTTTCTACGAGACTAACATGGTTAGAGAGTAATTAATGTGATGAACTTTAGTGTCCAACCCCAAGTGTATGAGTTAGCCCCTCCAAATCCTCCAGTACAGCCAATGACTGAGTCACCAATGATGGCTCCTCCAAGCAGTCCTGTTCAAGTTAGAGGTAAGGTGATGTGCTAATCCATAGGGTCTCATATAGTTCCTGTTGGCCCTGGTGTTCCTATCTAAACGATTTTATTATGTGAAATTCCAGCATATTTCTATATCCCAGTCATATAATGGGGTTTTGGGGTTTTGGGGTTTTGGGG